GGGTTGTGGGACGATGACGGGTGGTGCGAGGCCTAGCGGTGAGGGGACTGGCGGTGCACGGGGGACTACGGGTGGGGAATTCATCCCGCAGTCTGATAGGGAGATGGCGAGGTTGAGGCGGGGCAACTCGATTTGGAACTTCATCACCACGGGGCAACTTGTTGGGGACCAGTCGAAGATGCATGGGGACCGGAAGTTGCATTGCAACTTTTGCAACCATGTGTGGCAGGGGAATGCGACGAAGGCCGCTCGCTATTTCACACAGCCCAAGTACTGCAAGATTGCGGGGATGAGAGTTCTCGCAGACATCTGGAACAACACGGGGTACAAGTTTGTGGACAAGACTGCTCAGCGGGTCCAGAGGTGGATGGCAGATGAGGGGATTCGGGATACGAGATCGACCACGGGTGGGTAGCGACCACGGGCAGACGAGGCAGAGAGGAACGAGATGCAGGACTTCCTCGATGCGTAGGATGGGGTCGAGGGCGAGGTCGGCGAGGTGGGGATGCGAGACGAGGCAGCTGGACGCTGCAAGCCCGATCTGCCTGGGGAGGAGGTAGTGATGACATCGAGAGCGGATGGCCCGGCGGGACGCGGTGTGAGGGCGTCACAACCTGAGTTGGAGTGCGCTAGGAGGGAGAAGAGGAAAGTGGGGCAGGAGGATGTTGACGTGTGGGGCACGGCGAGGGAGAAGAGGGCACATGAGACGACAATCGACGAGCTGTACGCGAAGGAGAAGTTGAGCGAGTTCACAGACGCGTGGCTGCAGTGAATCTACGCGAAGGGGTTGTCGTTCAACGCCTTCAGAGGGCCGGAGTTCCAGAGGGTGCGTCAGGCGGCAGAGAGAGTCCCCCGCAAAGTTCGCTTCCAGTTTCCCTCCTACAGGGTTACAGTGGGCGCGGGGATCCCTTCGCAGAGGGGGAAGGTGGTGACGATGGTGAGCGAGGTGCGGGCTGCTTTCCGGCACACTGGTGCCACCATCCTCTCCGACGGAAGGAAGTCGCATAGCAGCAAGCCGCTTGTGAACTTCCTGGCCGGGGGCGCCAACGACGCCCTACTATATGCGACCGTCGCACGTGACGGGTCAGTCGCTGACACGGCGGATGTCGTGTATCGCAGGTGGCGGGCCATCATCTTGTCCTTTCCTGCAAAAGGACGTGATCGGCTTCTGCACGGACTTCGCCAGTAACTATACGGCGGTGGCCCGCAGACTCACCATCGACCCCGACGCAGACATCAGGAGGATCACTTGGCTTCCCTGCTCCACCCACGTCTGCAACTTGATGTTGTAAGACGTTGGGACGTGAGTGGGGTGGGTCAAGGAGACCATCATCTGTGCCCGAGCGTTAGTGCGATTTATTAAATCACACGACGCTGTGTTCGTCCTTTTCAAGAGGATGAGCCCTCGTTTCACGCTGGTTGAGCCCGTTGACACCCGGTTTGCATCAGTTTTCCTGATGCTGACGTGTCTCAAAGGTCGGCGGGACTCGTTAGAGAGCACGCTGCATGGCGACGCGTGGGCTCGCATCCCGTGGGAGCGCAGGCTTGTCTCCCAGGCACAGTGGGTTCAGCAGCAGATCCGCGACAGCGAGTTCTGGCGATGCGTTGACTGTGCCTTCCGCGTTATGTTGCCCATCCACCAGCTCTTGAGGAGGATGGATAGAGGGGGGATGATGATGTCCATCGTTTACGAGTGGAGTCAGCATCTTCTCGAGTTGATGAGGAAGGTGGATGTGCCGGCGGAGATAGTCGAGCCGTGCGTGCGCGAGGTTGCCGTCCCCAACCTCCACATGCTCGAGCTCGCACATGCTGCGGCACACCTCCTCAACCCTCGCCGCCTGTCCTTCCGATATTATGAGTCGTTGCAGACGACCACCGACGACGCCCGTGTGGTCGAGGAGTGCGACAGATTTCTGCTCGCGCAGACTGGCGACGATCCGGTCGGCAGACTGTACAGGACAGTCCGTGACCAGATCAGGCATTTCCACTCGCGCGGGGAATTAGGGAGATCGGCAGCTGTCCGATGCCGAGGCCGACGACTGTCGGGGGGACCGCGAGACTGAGCGTTGTGCCCAGTGGTGGTTTGATCACGGACGTCATCACCGTGAGTTGCGCACCATCGCCATCCGTGTGATGCACTTGTGGACGTCTGCCTCTCCTACGAAGAGGAACTGGGTGCAGCACGAGTGCATCAACACGGCGAGGCGCCACAAGCTTGGCTTTGCCAAGCTTGCACAACTGGTTGAGATTGCCACCAATCTCAAACTGGACGGGTGCGCACAACAGGGTAGTGGCTACGTGTTGCCCTGGGTTATGGGGACCGGTCAGGAGGAGACCGCGGAAGGACAGAAGGACGACGAGGGGGACGTGGACCCTGAGGTGTGGGGAGCGCGATCTGCTGGCAGTTTCAGCGAGCAAGACATCGAGCGCCAGGTCGTCGCTTTCCATGCTTGTCGACCGTCCAGAGCCGACCCGGTTGAGGACGTTTTCGGCAAGAGGGCGGTGGAGCTACGGCCGTGGCCGGAGCAGACGTCGGACGCTGATGTGGATGGCGACACGTCGGACGACGAGTGGACGGACGATGACGACGCTCCCGTCAGCGGCGACGCGACGACGGAGCGGGTCTATTTCACGTACGGTGGAGGACCTGACGGCATGACTCCACACACATCCGTCATCACTGACGATGTGCCGTCCGGTGGTCAGGCTAGTGACACCGGCAGAGCCGGTGGTCGTCGTCGTCGACGACCACGTGCCGATGAGCACGTGGAGGAGCAGGAGCCGCTCCGAGGCCTTCGGTAGACGGGCAGACGTTGGGAGGTCAGGAGCGACAGCCAGCCGGAGGGGGCGGCGGAGGAGGAGGAGGTGCGCCTTCGGGATCGTCGGTTCTCTCCCTCTCATCATTGGACTACGGGACCGCCCGAGACTACCAGGCCGAGGACGAGGTCGGCATCGGCAGCGGAGAGACAGCAGACACCAGCGACCGAGCACCATGAGGGGAATGGGCTTGCGGACATTCCGGAGATGGAGAGGACTCCATCCGGCTCCAGTGTCCGCCACCGCTCACAGTCCGAGCTGCGCACCGACGACTTCTACGTCGGCGGCTCTGGCGGGGGTTTGGGGGATCTCAGTGCCCCGAGATAGAGGGGTGCCTCGCTGTCGGACGTGCTCCTCGACGATTTTGATGTGCAGGGCCATGTAGAGACCGCGGAGGAGCGGGATGCCCGACTGGACATAGAGGAGGAGGAGCGGGATGCCCGACTGGACATAGAGGAGGAGGAGCGGCTGCAGACTTTGTCAGGATGGGAGGGTCGTTTCGCGTATATGGAGGAACAGCGCCGACGGAGGGAGTTGGAGAGCGGTGACGAAGGCGACGTGGGTTTTGGTCGAGAGTTGATGCGGGGGCGGCCCGACAGGGTGTCCCCATGGGTGTTGAGGGAGATGGTGTCCCCACGGGTGTTGAGGGAGATGGTGGCGACGAGGACGAGGACGAAGACGAGGAGGGGTCCGACCACGGAGACGACCACGGCGACGACGGCGGCGACCACGGCGACGGTGGCAACGACGGCGACGACGGCAACCACGACGATGACCACGGCGACGACGGCGGCGACGACGATGAGGGTAGGCTGGCTTTGGTCTTGAGGGACCCGTCAGTGCCTTCACTACCTCTCACACGGCCCGAGGCCTTCGCTCAGGCAGGTTTTGATGTCGACGATTTGGCGCGACTCGGTTCACATGACCCTTTCCCCCCCACGGGCCGCAGGAGCGGCGAGAGGTGCCCTCCTGGAGGGGCATATTCGCCCCCGCCCTACATCGTGGATAGCCCTAGATGGTCAGGTTCTTCGCTCAGCGGCATTAGAGGGAGGGAGTCCGGGCCGGTTGATGGCGGGTCGGGACGCCGCAGTGACAGCGGCGGATCTGCAGGATCGATGCCTCCGCCATCCGCACGGAGCACGGAGGGCGGCGCCGACGGAACTACTGCTCGTGCGCCCATTGCCGGTTCCTCGCCGCCTGTCGCAGGTGGTGTTGTCGGCGGATGGGCAGCTCATCGCCGGGTCTCGGACCGGATGAGGGTGGATTACGACGTCGGGAGGGGCGCCTTCACAGGACGTTTGTCACCTCGGTTTCAGGTTGTGTGCAGCAGCGAGGGTGGCTTCGGACGTCCGAGTCTTCACATGGCAGGCCGCATGCTCGGTTTGTCTCGATCAGCGACGAGGAGAGTTTTGATGCCACCGCCGATTCCGGCCCGAGGGACAACTACGGACATGCAGCAGGGTTAGCACTACACATCCGACGAGGAGGGGTTGTTGATGCGGAGTGGGAGTAGACGACACAACGCCGTCAGTGAGGCTCGACTCGCAGCAGAGATCGCCGGCGGCCAAGCTGCATTGGACGTGATTCAGAGGCGTCGACAGACGATTGCTGCAGCGGGGGCCGAGGACGAGGACGCGGACACAGAGTCTGAGCCGATCGACAGTGCAGTCCGCAGACATAGAGCGGCCGTGTCCGCGGCAGCCGCGGTAGCACAGGCGGCATACATCAGCGGTGCGCAGGGCACAGGTGGTGGAGGGGGCCCGAGAGGAGCGCGTGGTCGACAGTCCACCGGGAGAGGCCGCGGGCGTCCTTCCGGAGGTAGAGGATCTGGACCTTCCGCAGGGAGAGGGAGGCGTTAGTGCCTTTTTTTTTTTTTTTTTATTTTTTTTTTACAGGACGTCGTTTTG